ATTGAGAAACAAAAGCAACTACTACCATATCTGAAGCCACACCTTTGATAAAAAGTTTAAAATATGCAATAATATGAATTCAGAAAAATCAAGTTGCATGTTAGTGTGGAAATAGTCCTTTTATTGGGTATACTCATTCTGAGAAGATCTCTGATTTTCCAGGATTATCATGCCTTAAAATTTTAAGTGCCAGAAAAGGCTAACAGTATAAGCTTGACTAAGCTATCTACTGGCTTACTGGGGCAGTGTAAGTCCCTGGTGGTCTGGCTTGTTTTACCCTCTTACAGAAAAATAAGTAAAACTACTGGGCTTCTATTTTCAAATGTTAAAATAACTTATTTTTATTTGTTGAAAAACACATAGTCCTTTTTTTTTCTCTTAAACATTCTTAAGGGATACCTGGCCATAATTCTTATAGCTGTCCTCAATTTTTCACTTGGAAAAGTAATTTGGAAAGACAGAAAGCAAACAAAAATATTTTATGCATTTTTGTTATTTTCTGCACCGTAATGGTAATGTTGGATAAGCATTAGGCTGCTGACCTTCTCTCGGTTGGCCCTTCAAATCCACCAGTTGCTCTCAGGGAAAGCAAAGGAGCTGCCTGCTCACATTAAGGTTTACTACCTCAGAAGCCAAATACAGGATCACTGTGCGTGGGAGCAGACTCCATGGAAGTAGGTTATTACAGAATAAATCACTAAACATTCATTGTTACTTGTTATTGTTACGATTTTCACTTACCTATATTTACTCTGATAAAGTCATCAGATGTTTTTGCAAGTTTCACAAGGACTTTTTCACTAAGAAGCTCTATATGTCAACCTACAGTGAAGTGAATCACCTGTCAGGACTGACTTCTTCAGAAGCAGCTCTCTAACCTCCTATCAGTTATCTCTAACTCACAGAGAAGGAGCTCTGGTGGCAACACTGGCCAAGCATTTAGCTGCTGACAGGCAGGCAGTTTGAACCCACCAACCACTCTAAAGACAAAAAGTACAGCAGTCTGCTTCCATCCAGCCTGACAGCTTCGAACACTGTACCGCAGTTCCTACTCTGTCCTACAGGTCACCGTGACTCGTTGGAATGCAATCAACAGACATGGGTTTGGTCTTGATTGTGGCTCACACATGAAGGCTTACACATGCTATGTCTTTCTCAAGAAGAAATCTAGATTTCATAACAGTATAATCTAATTGTTAATGAAATTAACTTGAAGGTCCCATTTAAAACATTACAATATCGACCACTTACTGTCGTTATATTGATAGTTTTCATTTGATATTAAAATATATCAAAGTCAAAATTAAAAACCCAACATTTAAGCACAAGCAGTTTTAGTCAGGACCTTTAATACAAACAGGAAAGGGGTCAGATCGCCTTCGAACGAGGAAATGACACAAAACTGTACCAAGGAATCAAAGAAAGCCCACCATTTACTTTCCCCCCATCTAATGGACCAGTCAAAAACACAGCACATCACGTCATCACACTTCTAATTCATGTCACCAATACAGACCAATTTTTCAAAATACGATTTATAAAATACTAATTTTTAACAGTGTTCATCAAGTCAAAACTACAGAACTGCCGGGGGGCGGGGGGGTGTCTTTGAAAATGTAATAGCTATTACTTAGAATATAGCAACTTCCTCACTTCAAACAAAAAGAAAACCAATACATGAATATATCGCTCTGCACTGACACAATGATTAAATCTTCCTATCTGATTGGATGTTCTCAAATATCTCACGAAGTAAGTTAATTGGCTATGATTTCCAACTTATAAATGGAAACAGCAGAGGCTCATAAATTAAATCACTTGCTCAACCCCACTAAATACCTGATCTTTTTTTATTCCAACACGCAAGCGGTATGAACTAAAAGTAAAGTTTTAGAAAAAGAACTGTCGTTAATGGACTAGTCCTAGGGGAAAATGAGAAGCCTGACATCCTGTGGTAACAGAAGAAACTCTTGAACACCCCATCCTATAAAAAGCTAAAATTCCCCCAGAGACCCCTGAAGGCTTTCTGGGGTAGCTTTCCTCACACTACAGGTCCTTCAAACAAACAAGCAATACAAACTAAAACCGTAAATTTAACAATTAGCTGCCCTCTTTCCCATATCACAGAACAAAATGGTACCTTAGATTTAGTCAAGTAAGCCTGGTGCAATACACTGCACATAAATTTGGAAACTAATTTTTAACAACTTTTATCTAGTCAAAACTGCCAGGAAGAAAAAGGTTTTTAATGTAATAGTTTGTACTTAGAATACGGCAACTTCCTCACCTTTAACAAACACATGAACACAGAAATCAATTCTGCCCTCAGCACTTCTGCATTGTCAGATGAGTCTGCATTTTCTGTCTTAAAATACCCTGGGCTTAGCAGGCCTTGCGGCCTGTCCTTGCTCTGAACATGTTCGGAAACTACTGCTTTGACAACTGTAGCAGCTGGCCATCAACTAAGTTTTAAAAATCTTTATTTGCTGGAAAAGACCTTAATTACACAATGTATACAGCAATACAGTGGCACCAATTAGTAAATTAGCTGCAACAACAATTGTGAATGTTTCTTATGCCCTATAAATGAATGCAAACCTAGTAATTTTTTTATTAAGCCTACATAGTACATAAGAATTAGAATCTAGGGAGTAGTGACACTAACTGGAATTTTAAGAGAAGGAAAACTTCAAAGAAGACAACTTTAAGAAAATGAAATATGAACACTACATTGGGGGAGGGGAGGGCGGTGACAGAAGGAACAGGGAGCAGTTCACACTAGTGTTAAGTGAAACTAGGAGCTGAGGCAAATTTCAATGTTTTTAAGGCTGACAGTGGGAAAAAAAGCAGATTATTTGTACTCTGTGGAAGAACAATATGATTTCTTCATCCATACCAGGCACAAAAAATAAAAAACAAATACACCTCAAAACATGGCATAGGAAACAGCATTCCAAATGATTCATTGTAAAATATGCTTATAAATGTCACGCTCTTACAACAGTTGCTTAACAGCTTTATTCCCACTGGTAAATGCTTACAAACAGTAAACAAAAAAATTTGCTCTATCTAAATCTCTTCAGTAAATTAATTTCTGATCTTTTTTCACTTGAAAGATTATAAGATTAATCAAGATTGTACTGCCTTAACTGAAGAAAGGTAAACACTTTGGTCTTTGATTTTACTTTACAAGGTAAATTGAAAACAGATCAAATGAAGATGATGCATACAAGTGCCAGTAATGAGTCATATCTGGTTTTTATTACTTTCCTGTACCTTTTCCTCCAAATTTACATTTAAATTAATATACAGAAAAATCACTAGAACCTCTACCCTAGTTGTTGTTACTGGCTTTTTTGTGTTTTGGGGTGGTTTTTTTTGCTTACTTGCTTGTAAAAATAGTGACAACCGGACAACAGAAAAGTGGGTGAAGGCAGACATCGGACAGTGTAAGATATAACTAAATAATAATAATTTATAAATTATCAAGGGTTCATGAAGGAGGGGAGAGCAGGGAGAGAGGGGAAAAAATGAGGAGCTGATACTCAGTGCTCAAGTTGAAAGCAAATGTTTTGAGAATGATGATGGCAACACATGTACAAATGTGCTTGACACAATGGATGGATGTATGGATTGTGATAAGAGTTGTACAAGCCCCCCAGTAAAATGATTAAAAAAATAGTGACAATTACAAAAACCTGCATCCCTTTTTTAAAATGTTTTTTTTCTAATTAAGAAGTAAAATGTAGAAAATTGGGGAAAACATAAAAGTATAAAGAAAAAGCTATAGTTTTACCACCTAATCACTTGTATAATTAGAAATATCTTTTCAGTCTTATATGAAGACATATAACTCCTTCCTGTTCTGTTACAAAATTGTAAGGTATTTTCTAACCTATTTTCATTTGCAAATCAGCATTTCTCACACCCTTAAAAAATTATTTGGGAATGATTTCTAATGTTTTCCTTGACTAAACTCCCAGTCTGAGGGCAATGGGGATACAAATGATGCATTTAAAGTATACCGCCTCTCTCCTTCCTTCCCCTTTATTATCTGATCTTAGGTAAGAATAATAAGCCATCCACACTGCCATGCTACCTGTAATAAATATCCCTAGAGAAATGTGGGCCTTGTAAGATTCAAAACCTTAAGCCAAAAGGTATGAAATTCTAACTGGTGAGATTTCAAGCACTATCCCGTGGGTGTGACCTTACTGAAGGAGGTGGAACTCCTAAATTCGCAGTACTAAAGCAGTTAGTTACCTGGTCTACCTACCCACAATAGCCCTATTCCATAAGCTACCGTAGAGGACAGCAGTGCAAAATCCCATTCAGTCCAATCCCTTAATTAGCCACATTTGTTAAAACTGACGCTCCCGACGGCAGTTAGTCATTAGACAGACAAACAGGCAAGGCGTTCAAGGGTGGGACAGATGCTACTATGTGGAGGGTCCATCCCTGAAGAAGAGACTGAGTCTAAAGCGAGACCGTGGAGAGGAGAGGCGCATATTCATCATTATCGGTCTGGCGTAGGAGCAGAAATCTCGCCTGCATTAATCAGTATCTCTATTCCTGGCAGCAAGGCCCTCAACGTCACCAAAAATGATGGGCTGACAGAAAAGCGAGCGGCGTGACGCACACAGCATCTTACCATATGGACATCCATCCCTCAGGACGAGCAAGAGCCCCGCGCGTCAGCCCCGGAAGAGCCCCCCGGGCCGTCGGCTCCCTCACCTGTGGCGCACAGCTCGGTCTGCACGCGGGAGCAGGGGCTACTGGACCCCCAGACCCACCGCCTCAGGAAGTGGCGTGGCCGCAGGGACGGCGGACTCCCGGCCGTACGCCAGCCCGGTGGCAGCACTCGACAGGCGCCAGGGGTCAACCCGCACGCCCTCGCAGCCCCCGTCTCCGTGAAGATCCCTGGACTGTTCGCCAAGGACAATGACCAGAGGCGCGGCCTCGAACTCCCTCCCGTCGTGCAAACCCGCCCCAGACCATACCTGAAGGTGCAGCGCCACCTCCGCCACACTGCGTTGCCCGTCGTGGTGGCGGCAGGCACAGTTCCCAGCGCCAGTGACGCCTCTCATAAAAACAACAACCTGCTCACAAGCGCCCGCAGCCGGGAGGCGACGGCCGGCGGGCCCCCGCAATGCATGCCGGGAGTCGTAGTCCAGTGACCATCTCGCGTCAGGAGCCTGCAGGGAAAAGAACTACGATTCCCAGAGTATATCGCAGCTCCCCGCGGCAAGACTGCAGGAAGCGGCGTCCGGCGGCCAAGATCCCCACAACATCCGGGCCCCGCACGGGAAAGGCACCGCGGGACGGTTGCTATGGAGACGGGATACAACTGTTCTAAAGGGGTTCATGGTTTCACACCAAAAGATGGCTCTCTGAATTAGGCAGATTGGTTTACACTTATTTATTTGGCCAGCGGTTCACCTTCTGCTTTTATCGGGAGCAGGAAGGAGAAAAAAAGGACGCATCACCTGTGCTCATCGGGATTCCTGCCAACGGCTGCAGAAAACAGAAAACTGCTTTTGCCGGAAAAAAACAAAAAAAGCTGCAAGCAAGAATAAACAAGTACGACTGGGTGGGTTTAGTTAGACGGATGAGTATTTTTGAATGTTGGTATACTTTGGATTTAGTTGAATGTTGGTATAATTTGGTATTAGTTGAGGCACCCCCCTACTCCCACCCATCTTACTCTACCACCAAAAAATACCTAGCTATAGCTCCTGCCTAAGGAACCACTTTGAAGAAAGATGAGGCTCTTGCTATGATAAAGATTTACAATCTCGGAAACCCAAGGTAGCTCTTCTGCCCTGTCTCACAGTCGCCATGAGCCGGAATCCGCCCATAGCAGTGGGATTCGGGAGCAATCACTGAATGACACAAGTGTAACTGTGTGTTGCATTATTAGCCGTAATTGACTCTCAGGTTATATGGACTTTTGGAGGTGGTACCCACTTGAAACTCATCAAAAAATGTACCGGTGATTATTTTGAACAAAGAAACCATAATTTGTAAATTTTACATTTATTTACAATGTGCCTCATTCAAAAAATAATAACACTGTTAATAGAAAGAGTATAAAGGTTTAATTCTGTTCCCTAGTTGAGGCAAATATATATATATATATATATGAAAACAAAGATGGTGGGCCTGAGCAGAAACTAAAGGGTCCCTCAAAAAAAGGGGCTTGTGGGGTGGTGGGGTAGGTATCACCAGATTTAGCATTAACTGTGTACGAGTGGTTATGAGTTGGGCTGAAAACTGCAAGGTCAGCAGTTCTAAACCACTAGCGGCACCTTGGCAGAAAAATGGGACCTTCTACTCCAGTAAACAGTTAACAGGCTTGAAAACTCACAACAGCAGTTCTACTCTGTCCTGTGAGTCAGCATTGACTCAATGGCATTGAATTTGTTTGGGTTTGGTTTGGTGGCACCATACCCCCAAAAAAGGAAGAAAGAAACAAGTGTTAATTTGTATAATTACAGCATCTGCACATGTGGGACACTGAGAACCAGGAAGAACGTGCATGCGGACAAATTCTCTATGTTCATATTTAAGGAGTCGAGGAGGCCAAGACTGGCAGAGGCCTTCATGCTCCTGAGTTGAATCCCAGTTGGAGATGAATCCCAGTCACATTCTTCTGACTCAAATGTATTCCCACAGTATCCCCCCATAATCTTATGCTTCTTACAAGCTCACGGCTGCTTACTATAAGCTTGAAGTGTATCTACCTGAAGGTTATCTGCCATGGAGGGCCATCAGACCCTATTGTCCACCCTACTCTAAGTGTGGCCTACTTCCTTCTGAGAAGGATCATAGATTGTTCCCCTGGAGAAGAGCTCAGGGGCACCTAAGGTCAAGCCAGCTCAGGCACAGACAACAACTCCAGAACCCGCCCACCTTGTCGAGTATGTGCCTCCCTGTCACAGGTATGCCTCTAGTACCTCTTGCTATTACGTGTATGCCTCTAGTACATGCCTTTCCTATTACATATGTGTATGACATGGCTTGCATGCCCCGTGATTATATAAGCCTGTTGGAGACTACATTCGCTCTCTCTCTAGTTCCAGACTCCATGGAATAGGTGAGCCCTTGCATGCCTTGTCTGTGTTTCTTTAATTTACCCTTCAATTACGCACTCGCCCCTTGGGATGGTTGTAGAGGCTGGTCCCCCACATGTACACAAATGAGCATTTTCATGATTTCAATTCTCATATATTTTTTTCTCAGTGTGTGTATGTGTGCATATGTGTGTGTTTATATTGAAAGACTTGGAAAAACCCAAGTGGACTAGTTTTCTCTAACTCTCAGAGGGCCTAAAAAATATATTAGGGAGAAATCCATCTACCTTTAAAGATTTTTATACTCTCCAAGGCATTTTCATGGACAGCTTTAAAAATAATGGTTTACAATTTTAATTAACTTTCTATCATTGAGTAATTAACATCTGTTAATGACATGCTCTCTGCCAGAGAACTAAAAGTAATTGTTAATCTTTGTTTTAGACTATTTTGGTTAGGTTTTAGTTGTGTCTAGTTTGAACTGCGCATAATAAGACAATCCAGATTGGAAGAGCAAAACCCAACTAAAAGTACTGAAAGGGCCCAAGAAGTACAGTGAAGACAGTAGTCCCTGTGTCGTGCAAACTGATAAGCCTCCGCTACTTGCTGGCAGGTGTGGACCTACCTAGGGGGCCTTGTTATCTACTTCCAAAAATCCCACCCGGGAAAGCCCTATGGAACAGTTCTAGTCCACCCACATAGGGTTCTCAAGAATCAGAATCAACCCCATGGCAAATAACGAATCAGTGTTTCTGAATTTACAAATATTTTTTAATGTTCTCTGAAATGACTAAGATTTATGTACACACTAACTTTTCCAGATTATATGGTAAATTATTCCTAACAAACCTTACTAGTTAATTTGTCATTTGTATTGACTAGTTGGTAAATAAGTAACAAAAGCTCACTACCCTGGAGTTGATTCTGACTCATATTTTAGTCCTGAGAGGACAGAGTAGAACTGGCCCTGTGGGTTTCCATGATGAGAGCAGGCAGCCCTCAACTTTCTCCTGCCCTTATCTCCTGCATCTGTCTCTCAAAGAAACGCTGGTGGATTTGAACCCCTGACCTTGTGGTTAGCAGCTCAATACAGAGACCACTGTGTCAAAGGGCTCCACTATGACACCAGGACTCCTCAATAAATAGTTTTTTCACCCATTTAGCCCCACCCCACAGGTTGCCCTGCACAGCCTGGCTCTAGCCCACTGCTATCTAGATTATTCCAACTACCAGCAACCCTGTGAGCTCAAATTCACCAACTCTTTATGAGAGTAGAAAGCTTTCTCCCAAGGAGCGGCTGATGGTTTCAAACTGCTGGCCTTGTGGTTACAGCCCAACGAGTAACCACTATTTGACTAGGTCTCCTAGTAGGGCAAAGTTAAACTGTCTCTTTGGGCCCCTGAGGCTGTCAATCATTATGAAAGCAGCTTCAGCTTTCTCCCTCCTGGCTGGTGGATTCTAACTGCTGACCTTGTTAGCAGGTTAGGAACCCCACTCATAGGTCACTGCACATAACCAAACCAAAAGCCATACTTACTGCCATCGAGTCCATAACGACTCATTGAGACCCGGGTGCCATCGTGGTTATGCAATGGGCTGCTAACTACAAGGTCAGCAATTCAAAACTACCAGATGTTCCAAGGGAGAAAGACCGGGCTTTCTCTTCCAGTAAAAAGTTAGTCTCAGAAACCCATTGGGGCAGTTCTAATCTGTCCTACAGGATTTCTATGAATGGACACCTCACCAGGGCTCCTTAAACCCACTGCTACCAAGTGAATTCTGACTCCTATCTAACCTAGATGGGGTTTCGGAGGCTGTAAATCTTTATGGGAGCAAAGAGTCTCTTTCTGCTGCGGAGCACCTGGTGAGTTATCAGACAAACACTCACCCAAGGGCACCACCAGAACTCCTACAATCTGGCCACTAAATGCCCATAAAGTAAAGTTGGGTATAAGTTCTCTTTCCCACAAGTCACAGGACAACCACCTCCCCTCCAAGATTCATTCTCCATGTGCAGGAGACATGTAGATGTATTGAGAAAAGCAGATCTGTTGAGGTACCCTCAGATGTTAGGGTTTGGGTGCCCTGATGGTGCTGTCGGTTAAGTGAGAGACTGCTAACCACAAGGTTCATAACAGTGGGTTGGGTGACTTACTGATATCCAATGTCCATAGTTTTGATATTTAAAACAAGTGACTACTTTATCAAAACACAATAAACTGTCTTAAGAAAAATTAGTAAGGTGTCAAAAAGAATAAAAAGAAGATTGGATGAGCATATGACTGATTTGAGACTCAAGAAACTGAAGTTCTACTTGCAGCTTTGCCAGCTTCTTTGCAAGGTTATTAAATGAGCATTAGTAAACCATAATATACTAGTGTAAAATTTTTTACACTGGAAGTTTCAGAATGAAAAAAAAAGAAATTAGTAAAAATAATTTCCATTTATATAATAATTTATCATTTATACCCAACACTCTCATTGTATTCTCACAGCTATAGGAATTAAGACAGATATATGAATGAGTTTTAGAGATGACTTGTGCGTTAGTCTAGGTACTTTAGAGAAACAAATCCCCAGAAACTCATATGTATAAGAGAGAGTTTTATATAAAGGGTAAGTGCACATCAAGAAAACATCCCAACCCAGTGCTGCCCAAGCCCACAAGTCCAACATTAACCCATATGTCCAACACCAATCCACAAAGTCCTCCTCCATCTCACAAAACACACACTATGATGCTGACTGCAGGAGGAAAGCCGAGTCAGTGAACGTATAAGCATCTCAGCGCTGGCAGCATCTCCACACGGCTGCTCCAGCACCCAGGGCTGCATCGGGGTAGGTCCATGTGGCTTCTTGAGGATGTCTTGCAGGAAGTGAGCCCTGCCAACTGAAGCAGGAACTGGCTAAGGCAGCAGCACCCTGGTCCAACCATCAGAAAGCAAGAGATCCAAGAACTGAAAAGGCGAGGCTCACCAAGCCATTTATCCCTCTGCCCTTCAATTAACCCCACATGTGTTTATCGGCCAGGTTGGCACAATAAATTACCTCAACTTGCAAGCAAAAGTATGATGAACTAGTAACAAACTTGTTCCTGCCTTGTGCTGCTTCTCCTACACTATTTAGAACCATTCAAAGGAATAAGAAAGGGGACAAACTACTTCACATTTGCCGATTTGGTGATCGAGATTTCACTACAAAAAGGTTTACTTTATTGCAAAAATGGAGCTTTTCTTGTGAATCACCTAGGAATTCAGAGTGAGTTGAATTTGGGTAGAGAGAAACTGAGCTCATATGACCAAAATTTGAAGCTCAAAAGAGACTCTGTCCCCACTTACACATGGCACAGTAGCTCTGTAAACAGTCTTACCCCACTTGAGAACTGAACAAACAAACGATCTGCTTGCTTATGTTGTTGTTACCTGCCACGTAGTGGATTCAGATTCATGGCAACCCAACGTCTGCAAAGAAGTGCCCCACAGGGTCTTCAAGGCTGAAACGTTCAGAAGCAGAGCAC